CACTTCAGCAGTATTCTTTCCAAAAACACATAACCTCAGCCTAATCAGGAGAAAACCTGAGACAAACCAAAACGGAGGGACATTCTACAAAATAACTGACCATTACTTTTCAAAGTTTCCAAGTCATGAAAAAAAAAGGAAGGTATGAGAAATTGTCATTGTGAAGGAAACTCAGGGAACAAGACCCCTAAGTGTAATAATGGATTCTAGCTTGGATCTTGAAAGAGAAAAAAGACATTAGTAGAAACACTGATGAAATTAGAATGAGACCTATCCTTTAGATCAGAGGTTGAATAACTCTAGCCCAAAGGACATATCTGGCTTGCCACCTGTTTGTTTTGTTTTGTTTTGTTTTTTTAAATAAAATTGTATGGGAAGACAGCCTTCGTCATTCATTTACATATTATCTATGGCTACTTTCTTGCAATGGCAGAATTGAATAGTTGTGCTAGAGTCCTGCAAACTCTAAAATGTTTGCTGTCTCAGGGTCAGCACCTAGGAGAAACAAGCAGGATGCCTAGGTTTAAGGAGGTAACCTTACTCTCATAGACTTTTGCACTTGCACAATCCTGAGAGTTAGTGCCTCCTTAAATTTTGTATCCCAAGTGCTCTGCTTGCCTCACCCTAGTCTGGCTTGGTCTATCTGGCCCCTTACAAAAAAAAAAAAAAAAAAAGCTTGCTGGCCCCTGGTTGAGTTAATACTATTGTGCCAATGCTAATTTTCTGATTTGTATAATTTTACTATGCGTGATAATTGTAAATACAATGTTAACATTAAGGGGAGCGGGATGAAGTATATTCATGAACTCTGTGTTATTTTTGCAATTTTTCTTTAAGTCAAAAATTATTCAAACAGGTGGAGCACAGAGGATTTTTAGAGCAGTGAAACTACTCTGTATGATAAATGTCATTATACATTTGTCCAAACCTATAAAATGTACAAACCCAAGAGTGAACCATAATGCAAACTATGGACTTCGGGTGATTATATCAGTGTAGGTTCACCAGTTGTAGCACGTGTACCATCCTAGTGGAGATGTTGATAACAGGGAGGCTAGGCATTAGTGAAGGGAAGGAAGTATATGGAAAAGCTCTATACCTTCCACTCAATTTTGCTATGTATCTAAAACTGCTTTTAAAAAGTCTGTTAAGAGGCACCTCGGTGGCTCAGTTGGGTGAGTGTCCAACTTCAGACCATGATCTACTGTTCCTGAGTTCCAGCCCCACATCAGGCTCACTGCTATTAGGGCAGGGCCCACCTCAGATCCTCTATCCCTGCCCCCCCCCAACCCTTTAGACAGAATTGTCTAAATTTACAAAGTTCCAAGTGTCCAGTATTATTGTGTGGCCAAAACAACACCACAATTTATTATGTGCCAGGCACTATTCTAAGTCTTTATTTAGCATGTCTCATTTAATCCCCACAACACCTTTATGAGGTGGGTACTATAATTATTACCCCCATTTGCAGATTAGGAAACAAAGGCATAGAAAAAAATTAAGTCATTTCCCCAAGGTCACACAGCTCGTAAATGGTAAGATTTAAACCCAGGTGGTCTGAAGTCAATAAAGAAGAGAACTAGAAACAAAAAATAGATGTCTCCATTTATCAAGTTTATGCTCAATTTTCAAGACTGTGAAATCTTAAAATCAGGATGCCTTCTTATCATTACTACTGAAATGGTGACCAAATACCAAAAAATCAAATAAAATATACATCAAGGAGATATCTTATTTGATATACATCCTAGTTTGTGGTGTATGCATTCATAAAGACTTTAGAAGATTTCATAACGTGTGTCTTTTGTGTAAAATATGATGCAGGGCGAAAAAGCTGATTAACTTGGAATCAATCTGCAATACATGTTTTTGAAATGAGGGTATGTTGTTTTCTACTCAACAGAGCAGAAATCCTCCCATGGTTTATATATGTCATTTCATTAATTTTCAACACAAGCTTTAAATTGTAAGAACTATATATTGAGGGTCTCAGTTTATTAAGCAGCCGTCTCTCAATTTTGGCTCAAATCATGATCTTGCGGTTTGTGAGATCAAGCCCCGGGTCAGGCTGTATGCTGACAGTGAAGAGCCTGCTTGAGATTCTCTCCCTCCCTCTCTGCCCTACCCTGCTCTCTCTCTCTCTCTCTCTCAAAATAAATAAATAAACTTTTAAGAAAATAAACAAACAAACAAATAAATAAATAAATTGTAACAACTATATACTAAAGCAAAAGAATTTTGTGTGTGGCTCAACTCAGTTGTTATAAATAGAATCAACATATTAAGTCGCTTTGAAATTATAACTGCTAAATTGCTTCTTTTTTTTTTTTTAAGTAGGGCCCATGCCCAATGTAGAGCTTGAACTCATGACCCTGAGACCAAGAGTCTTCTATTCTACCAACTAAGACAGCTAGGTGCTCCTAAATGCTTTTGAGTATGAACATTTCTGGTCAATTTTTTAAAGCATCAAATCAAGGAATATTTGAAGCAAAAGAAATCCATCCAATACAAATCAATAAAGGAAATGTCACAATAAATACTTAAAAAAATGTAATTGAAATATTTTTAAATGGGAAAGATATATATGAAAAGAGGGGAAAGATACATATAAAAAGAATTGACAAAATTGTGACAGATCATTTCATTTTAAATAAATGATTGTAATTTAAACATCTATGGCAGGGACAGAATCAGTAATGAAAGAATTGCAAGACAATGCTTTTATTCTCCTTTTCATACATGCCACAGTACATACAGAGAAGTATGACTACAACTGGTAACAAAAGGGCTGACTATAACGAAAGGACACTGTTGTAAACATTATAAATAATACGAACTTTTTTTTAAAGTCTTTTCAAAACCAGTGTTCTTTCTCCTTCAAAGAATGAGGAAACAATCACATAACTATAAAAGAGTGACTAATCGGGTCTAGACATTTATTATGGGAATAGAACAACCTTTACCTTATAACTTAGCATGACAACATTTTTGTAAAACCTAAATTGTGAAGCTTATCAAGTTAAGTGATGTTCCTTTGATTTTAAAAATCTCCTTCAAAAATTATTTGGCAATAGCATAATTCATAATAAAGATAGTAAAAATGGTAATAAGCTTTCTTAATTGCTGTAAGTAAATCACCACCAAATAAACAAGAATAACATATTATCCTAAAGGGAAATATGCAACTAAAAGAGTGTTATAATCTGGGGTGTGGTGTGTGTGTGTGTGTGTGTGTGTGTGTGTGTGTGTGTTTAACTATAAGATACTTAAGATGACTTCCTCAGTGTGATGAA